GGGGGGTTTTCAGCGGGTTTCTGATTGAACAGCCAATCAAAGCTCTGGTGGTGTTGTTGTTAAATATCTTGAAGTTTGTGAACCGTGGTATGAGTGTGGATATATATTATATATAACTAAAAAAATCTAAACAAAACAAATCTCTTCAGTATTTCATTCCATGTGTAACTTGTAAATGGCGTGATAGTGTCTTCATGTAATGTTCTCAGCATCCGTGTAAATCGTCTAAGGTTAACTTAACACTGCCAGCTCTGCCTGCTCTTGTGATGTTTGAGAGACACACAGCCTTGCATGAATGAATGTCTCTGAACATCATGGAATGACAAACCCTCCTACTGTTGAGGTATTCAACCTATGGAGTATCAGAGTTTCATTCAGACAGAAATATCTCCCAGAGTTACTCCTTGTCTTTGTTTGTTGATCAGTTGTTGATCAGTTCAAAGGTTTGTTTGAACTGTTTGGTTTATGTAATATATATATTATTTCATTTTAATTTGGACACAAGTTTTCTGGGGCTTTACAATGCAGTTAAGATTTTTAAATTGTTATATGGCTGATCAGTGACATAAGATGAGGTGAATTCAATAATTTATTGAGGTGTGTTATGAAAGACAGACAACTGTTTTGTTTTCCAGAAAAGGAGGAAAAAATAATCTGTCCTTGTAATTGGATGAACAGTATGATTTTGTTGCACTGCACAGTTGCATTTTATAAAAGAGACAGATAATATTGAAAAGAAGTTGGTAGAATCAGGGCAGGGAGAATGAAAAGTAAATTATTTTTTGTAAAATGTTTTTATAAATGTCTGTTAGAGCAAAGTCTTAAGGTTGTAGAATGGCAATGACTAGCCAAAAGAAAGCAGAACTTCATGCTGCAGCTGGAGTTTTGCAACACTGAGTTTCTGTCCTATCTGCACCGCTCCCTCATGGGCCCCCGATGGGTCACCATATCCTAGCATTTTAAAAATAAATAAATAATTAAATCTGCATTGGAAAACCAGAATATCGGTTTTTAAAAACATTTAAGTATCAACTATAAGTATTAAAACTTAAAAGATTTTTTTTTTCAATAATGATTTCTGGCAGATATAGTCTGGGGTTCGCACTGAGAATCCTGAATTTAAAATAGAAATTCAGTTCATATTTATTCAAAATACTTTTTGAAAAATCCTGAAATTGTTTAATTAATTAATTAAATTTTTTTTTAATTTATTTATTCCCCCACCCCTCCCCCAATTAATTTGTTATGATGGTAATGTGAAAAAAAGGCATTAAAACAAAAAAAGGCATTAAAATGCTAGTGGTCTCTGACTTTAGGACCCCACTTATATTCAGTAAAAACATTGTGTTCAATGATAAACCCTTGTCGTAACCATTTTGCTACTTTGGAATTTTGTTCTACTTTTCAATTTTGAACCATCACTTGTATGTATATGTGTGTGTGTGTGTGTGTGTGTGTTTATATGTATGCACTGATTGAAGTCTTCTAACTAAAAGCCTTTTTCATTTGCTTAAGCAGTATCTACCCTTCTGAGTCTTGGGAATCTTCCTAAAAAAAACAAACAACAGTCTTGGCCTCCTCTCTTCCTCCCCCCTCGCTCCATCTCTCCTCCCTTGCAGCCCAATTAGGCTGAAGGTCGAGCTGCATTGTGGTTAGGGGTGAGGGAACGGGTGGAGACGATGGGGGAGAGTGTGAAAGAGAGAAGGGGGGGATTGAGTGAGACCACCAACACGTTCCCCGCGTCACATGACTAGCCCTTAAACCCCGGCCTATGGTGGGAGGAAACGCAGCATCCTGTGAGTGTTTTGTGCTCTTTGTGTGTCCCTCACTTCCTCTTTTATTTGTGCTTACATATGGTGATCAGAGCATAAACACATGCTGTAAAAGAAGCTTGTATGAGCATGGAGTGGACTCGTGACCCCGATGTTCCCGGGAAGCGCTAAATCCCGTCACGGCTCTCCCGGTTTTTCCCTAAAGTGTCATACATGCTGACAGGCTTTTCTAACTAACTGATCCAATAAACCAATCAAAGGATTTTGAAAAGCGGAGCAGATACACGTCAGTAGCTTTGGCACATGGACTCACCAGGGCCCAATTTCAAGACACCCTATGCCAACTGAAAATTAGATTAAAAATACAAAATAATAATAATAATTCATTACATTTATATAGCGCTTTTCTAGGCACTCAAAGCGCTTTACATTGTCAGGGGGTATCTCCTCATCCACCACCAGTGTGCAGCATCCACCTGGATGATGCGACGGCAGCCATAGTGCGCCAGAACGCCCACCACACACCAGCTTATTGGTGGAGAGAAGACAGAGTGATGAAGCCAATCAGTAGATATGGGGATTGTTAGGAGGCCATGCTATATTTACAAGCACCCAAATAATCACTTTATATCTGGACTGAAAAATCTTCATGTAAACACATCAGTTGATCCAGTTGAGCTCATTCTAAATGAAATTTCCATTGGATTGAAAGGCCTAGTGTAGACATGAAATAATCAACAGGAAAAAAATTAAACATGTGAATACTTAAATGAACTATTTTCTCAAATGGATTAAAAAATACCATGTGCCATGATGTGTATGTTTACATATGTTTCACATCATACGAGCATGCGTATGTTTATTTACATGTCTTATTAACTGGTCAGTGGATGAAATTGAACATTTATTAAAATTTTGTAAAAAAAATTCTCAGATGTCAAGTTAAAAACGACATTTAGCTTTCTCTGGCACTACTAACTTTTGATTGGAATATGTGTAATGCTGATGTAAACGAATATGAAAATCGTATTGCAGAATTTTGGGTTCATATAATTTTTTTTTCTGAATCTGAAATCAGATTGGATTCATTCAAAATTAATGCATGTAAACATACCCAATTTCAGATAATGTGATCAAGAAATAATGCAATGAATGATCATCTAATGACAAATAATTTAGGTATAAAAAGTAAACTGCCACTGGGGCTGTACTCTTTCAAAAAGTACTAAAATGTACTTTTAAAGTACTAATATGTTATAATTCGTACCATTTAGGCATCAAAAGGCAAAAAGGTAAAAACTGATTTTTGTAGCTTTTGTATCTTAAGGTACCCATCCCAGTGACAACTTTGTACCTTTTTTTTCGGAGAATGTAATCAGAGACATTACATAAAGGCTAATAAGAGTTAAAAAGTTTTGAGCTGATTAACTACCTACAGTATAGACTGTTTATGAGAACCCTGCTGACCAGGTGGCATATCACTAATCCTATTCAGTGTTGCCAAGTCCGCGGTTTTCCCGCGGAATTGGCTACTTTAACACTGTTGCCGCGGGTTGTTTTTCATGTCCGCGGGTTGAAGCGACCCCAATAACGTGGTATTTAGCGATTTTTTTTACCGGGGAACCCCCCTCGAAACGAGACTGGGATAGTTTTGAGTAGCAATTGGGCGGATTTTGTTGCGATAACCTGGCAACCCTGAATTCCTACATAGGCCTATCTGACACAGCAGACGTCTCGAAACAATAATTAGCAATGCCAATGACAGCCCTTGCTGTGGTAGATTAAATACAGATGTTGTTATTAAATCACACAGGTTTCAAACAGCAATTATGCAGGTGGTAGCCTATAAACATATCGCCACATTATAAGCAACAAGCATCTCACTGAGGCGTCGGAGAGCCGCATCGGTTTGGTTGGCCCGTGTGAGTGGCAGCTGACCGAATCAGAATTGAGGGATAACTTTTCAGGAAATATCTGTTTTAGGCTTACAATCAGGGTTAGGTGCTTCTACACCCTTGGTAATCAGCTATCATTTCACACTGATTTTAGGAATAAATTATGGGTATGGTTAGGTTTAGGGGTAGGGATTGGGTTTAGTCTATATTTTTGGGCAGTAATGTTGATCCAGGATCATCAAAAGATGTTGATCCAGGAACATGTCTTACTACGGCGACCGTGAGTGGCACTACACCAAAATAGCCCATTTCATAATGTTTTCGGATTGTTGTGTAATATTTTACACCATTAAAATCACTAGAATTTTAATTTCAATAGCACAATTCTCTACTAGCAGAGGATTTGTTTCCCACAGCGTCAGAGTTTCAGCCCTGCGTTTTGATTCAATTTGCAGTTGCACGGAGCAATAATAAATACCTCAACACTCCAAACTCCCTCCACCTGGACCAAACCGCACCACACAGCCCTGAATTTTTATTAAACATTAGATTTGAGTTTTGGACCTATTGTACCTGCTGCATGTAGAGAAAGACGAATCCAGTGGGAGAATGAAAATCACAGGTAAGTGTGTGAAGAGTGTGTTCAAACAGCTTGTGTAGCTGTCAATTAGGAATAGTGATAATGATAGTTGAGTGGAAAGTTACACAGATGCAAACGAATTCTACAAAAATAAGACTTTCCTTAAATTGGATCTCATGAAAAAATGGCAAAATAAAATCTAAACTGACACAGGTTTTTAGTTTTTAATATTATTTTCAATGGGAGAAAAAAGTTTAATCAACACACACACACACACACACACACAACATTAAAAAATATGCTCCACCTCTGAAACAAATGTCCAATTCGCTGACATCATCAAGTCCTCTTATTTTTCAAGTCCTTTAATTTTTAACCCCTCCTCTCCCACCACTTTTCACATTCCAATAAATTCAGATAAACACAAAATATAAAAAATTTAACAACAAACAGGCCTACATTTCTTTCTTCTAAATATCCCTTTTTGCTCAGAAATGTATCACATTTCGTAAGTAAAATGGGTTGTGAATATATTTTTTCTTGCTGATTGTAAAAGCTAATCATTAATTAGCCCAAAATGAAAATCATTTACTCACCCTCATGTCGCTCTAAAACAGTATGACTTTAAGAACATAAAATAAAAGATTTTGAAGAATGTCTCAGTTTTGTTTTTGTTTTGTTTTTATGGAAGTCAGTGGTCACTAAAATGGTTTGATTACCAGCATTCTTTTAAATATCTACTTTTGTGTTCCAAAGAAGAAAGAAAGTCAGATTTGGAATGACATGAGGATGAGTAAATAATAACAGATTAAATTTGTGAATTGGTGAACTACCGCTTTAAGAAGACCGCATATGAAGCATTCACAATGTTTTTGCTAAAGGTTTGAGCTTTTAGGATGAGAAAACCTTCGAACTACATTTATCAATTACAAAATTATCCAGTGGTCATAACTCTCTCATAACCTGCACCTACAAAGCTATTCCTTGTTGGCTGATAAGAAAAAAGTAAGCTCTTAAAGCCTGTATAGAACAGGACAGGTTTTAGCTTTCCTGCCATTTACTGCAGGAAAAAGTCACCTCATTAAGGTCTTTCAATGCTCTTAGGTGGTATTCTATCTGAAGCACTTTCAAGTAGTGATGTTAGGTTCTTGAACGAATCGTTCTTTTGAGCCGGTTCTCAGGAAGTAACCGGTTGAGGCGGTTCACAAATCGAACTGAATCGAACTTTAGTTCCGGGTTAATGACGCAGGACGCACAGCCAACTCAAAAAGAACCTTGAATGAGCCGGTGTTTTGTATTATTTATTTATTGTTACATACAGCTATAAATGGATGTAAATACATTTTACAATAGTTTATTGTGCATGCATATTATATTTAAAGTTGCTTAAACGAAATCAAGGAGTTTATAAGGTTTATTCATTCTTTATACAGTAGACAAAAGAAATGCGTAGAGACGTTATTGCTTGATGACGTCAGGAACCGATGAATCGGCATTTTGAACCGGTTCAATGAGCCGATCTGTCCGAAAAGTACCGGTTCGCGGAAATGAATCGGACTTTGCATCACTACTTTCAAGTAGTTTAAAACTGTGAAGACTTAATGGAGAGACAGAGAGTGATAGAAAGCATTGGCAGATGGATGTCTCTATGTCCCTGAAACTGACACTACAGAGAAAACCCATTCTTTGTGAGTTATCCTCTTAAAGATAAAATGTGAGATTCTTAAAAGTAAATCTACCATTTGGAGGAACTTATAACCTTGATCAACTCCTCCAGGTAAGCTTTTATACAATTAGATGATTGATTCCAGGTGTGAGTGAGATTTCTTCTATAGAATTGTAACCGCAGACCATGTGATCCAATGTGCTCAGAGTAAAAAGACAGTACTAGGGACCACTTAGGCCTATATAAAAGCATCCAAAAAGCAGCATGTCATGGGACCTTTAAGGACGTTGCATTAAAGGGTTCTCAAAATACTTGTTTGCAAAGGCTTTGTATTTGCGTACATCAGGCCAAATAACTGGAAATTGGATATCATATTATCATGACTGAATGACCATTGGTTTTACTAGCCAGAAATTGTTTTAAGTGCTTCGAAAAAACTGAAAAAAAGCTTGTGATGAACGAGTGTGACAAAAGCTTCATAATGGCACATGCCCTGTTTTCCACCAAGGCTGTGCACCTGTGAGTCACACTGAGAGACAGATATTTTATGAATAATCTGTGTAATTCTGTAGAATTCGAGCCTTCTCCACAAAAAATATAGTGACCATTTACTTTTTATTCGCTTCTCGATATTAGCCAACTCCGAGGTGAATCACATTACAAATTTTGATTCAAAGCAAAATAAAAAAAGATTTTTTTTTTGAGAGAATAAATGAAGTACTTGCTTAATGAAGCACTGCAAATTATGATGATGTGGTTGAATCCAAATAATAAAACATGTAACACATAAAAACACTGACTTACAGTCATTGATATAAAAACATTATATTGAAAGTTTATTACTACAAACATGTAAGTAGTTTGAGAAAATATACACTAACTTGATTGACAATCACAATGGTTCATAGGAGTGGGAGGTTCCACATGAGAGCTTTTGCTGCCATTTGTGTTTCTATGGTAACTGTGAATTCTCTTATTGGTGGAGCTCTCTTAAGATTATATAGTGTAATTCATCACTAGGAATTTGGAAATTAAACAATTTTTTAAATTATTTATTATGCATGTGTCATCATTTAAAAATCTCATACCTCAATCTCAGGTATGTTTTGATTATCTTGATAATTTGTACTTATGAAATGCTATTGTTACAGTTTATTGTAGCAGATTTACACTATAGGGTGAAATAATCAACCTTGTTGACTTTAGCAAGAAGTTGCCATTTGTGTTCTCTCAACAACAAAGTACCACATATTTTATGTGTTCAATGTATAAAATGTAAAGGTGTATTTTTTCATTAAAGCATGCATCTGACATTTGTGCAAAGATTATAGAAACCTGAGTCTCTTATGAAAACACAACATATGTAAATGGATGAATCTCTGAATATTTCAATAATAAAGAACATTTCAAATCAATTTAATATAAAAAGTAAGAACCTTTTAAAAATTGTAGTGTATGCACTGCTTTTCAATGCTCAAGCCTTAATTAACACTGCTGCTATTTCATAAGCAAGGCCCTCACCTCAGTAAAATAAGGTGCTTCGTGATTATTCTTTAATTCACTTACAGTGGCTATAAAAAGTATTCACCACAAGTTTTATTGTTTTACAACACTGAAGAGGATTTAATTAGACTTTTTTGACACTTATCAACAGAATAATATTCATTCATGTCAAAGTGATTTCTTTTTTACAAATTAGTGCAAATTTATTACATTTATTAAACATAAAATAAATTTTTTTCCTATGTATTCATCCACTTTAAGTCAGTATTTAAATGCACCTTTGTTAACAATTATAGCCTTGAGTCTGTGCGGTTAACTATTAATGTTACTTCTAAAACCAAGTGACTGTACCAGTGATGATTGAAGGGATGAATACCTATGAAATCAATTATTTTCATTTTACATTTTTAATTATTTTAGATAATTATAAAGGGATATCTTGGCATTAAAGTCTTTTTCCCTCAATGTCAACAAGTCCACTGTGATACAATGCTATATATATAAACCAAGAAAGTCAATAATTTTAAGGTGGAACAGGCAAAATTATTAAATTCTTACAACTTAAACATCTTAAAATCTTACAACTAGCTACTTTTCGTGTTGTTATTTTTTATGTTACATAATATTTTATCAAAAGTATCAAATAGTTCTCAATGAGAACTTCTCAAATCAACAAATAATAATAATAAAATGGGGCACCAAAGTGTAAATTCGTAAAAACGGTCCTTTTTTAGACACTTGCTGACTCATGCACGCGCTTCTATGCGCTACGCGCACGGTTTTTACGTGAGCGTGCACGAGTGCTACTTCCCGACCACGGTTGTCATATGACTCCGTCTGTTCATCCGCTCCCAGCGCAGATCTGTTTACACTTAGACAGTTTAATTTAACTAAGAAAAATAATAACAATGTCTACATTAGTAGCGAATCGACCCGTGGATCTGAACGGCCCTGAAGCAGCGGCGCGGCAGCACGCTCAAGCCGTGGTCAGGAACTACATCTCCCAGCCCAGACTGAGTGAGTGTCATTCACTTTTCATTCATACAGCTAACAGCAGCAACGCATCTGGCGTTTCTCTAGTTTTATTCTCTTTACTGCTCTTTAATTTGCATTTTGTGTTTGATCGGGGTTAAATACCGCCAGGATAGAGCTGATCTATTGCTAGTGTTGTCAAATGTCATATTGGAGTCAAAGTAGCACAGCTGTCATGCTAACACTAGCTTGGCCTGTTTATTGTAAATCGATCAGCACTTTTGCCTTTTTCTCACTAATTTCTTGAACGGTGATTGTTGTAAACAAACGAAGTAAATGTGGTATTTAAGCTAATTTTAATAAGAAAGTGAATAACCTTTGGTGTCTTTGAAGGTCTAAGCAAGTGTAAACATGCTAGCTAGCTAAGCAGGACTAAATCTCATTATTTATAGGCAGGTCGCTTAATCTGATCTGAAATCGTCGTCGAAAAACTACAATAAAACCTACGTGTTTTGTTATAGATTTCTTTAGGTTGTTACATGAGTGTTTGAAGGCTCCATCTGTGAATGGTATTGAGCTTCATCAGTTTAAACCTCATAATGTGATAGTCTTTATATTATATATGAAGTTTAAGTGTGTATTTGGTGATCGGAATGGATGTTTTTATGATTTTGTTTTCGATTCTCACGCAATAGCTATTGCACACAGAGAGAGAGAGAGAGAGATGGAGTGATGATCCCTCTCATGTGACATTATATCACGTGACACCCAGCTACGCTGCTGAATAATGTGTAATGAGGAACCTTCAGCTTCACTCAACTCATGTGACTTTTGTGACAGAAAAAGTTACATATGTTTCTTTTCATAAGGCTGATTGAAAGTCCTTGTTGCAGAAGTGTAGTCATTTTAAATGTTTATTCATAATCTTTCAAATGCTGCAAGAGAGTTTGCTGTTCTGCATATTTTTCTCTGGAATAATGTTAGTATATTCCATCTACCAGGTTGCAGAATAGTGTTTTTCATAATGATTCTGTCTGGAAGTTAATTAACAGTTACACACCAGAGAGTATTGGTTTGCCAGGCTCTAATTTTGCTGTGTGATCACTGGTTCAGCTCCATCTTTTAATCTGCTCGTGCTGTTTTAGTCTATCAGAAATATGGGCTACTGAAGAGTGCTTTTCATCCTTGTCCATCATGTCTTTTCAAATTGACTTTTTGTGTTCAGCCTCTCTCTGTCTGACTCTTGTCATTTCCATTTCTTGTCAAGGGTTTTGTTGTCAAATTGTTTGCCTTGTCAGACGCAACCTAATAGCACATCGCAAATTGTTTAAAACCCCATGAAAAGCGCTGTTTCTTTCTTTTGTTGACATATTTTCTAGTAAGTTTGGAGAACTTTTTTTGCATGCAAATAAGCTTTGGTTATGTCTCACCCACATGGCTTGCTACTTGATATTCGGTTGTATGTTATATTAGGAGGAGGGGCATTCTCATCCTGGAGCGTTTGATTGGACAGAGTGGTGTAGTACAGGATGAGTCATCAGTTTTTTGTAGGGACTCCCGTACTGTAAATTTTAAGTGTGTATAAATGCTAAAAGTGTACTTTGTCAATGTTTAGTTGTTCAATGGCATATAGATTACTAATCTGAAATCTAATTTTATTTTTTAGGTCTGTAGTGCAGTGCAACATTTGTTCAGTTTTGAACCTGGCACTAGCAATAATAAGGAAAAACCCAGTTTGATGCAATGGTTGCCGAAATAGAGGAAGTAGGCCATAAGTATACTGCTTATGACCACATTTTTGCATTCTAATTGCAAAATTGTGTATTTTTCTCCATTAATTTTAGTTGTTTTACACCACTGTTCAAAAGTTTTGGTCTTAGTACAGTTTTTTGAAAGAAGTCTCTTTTGCTCACTGAGGCTTTAACTATTTGATCAAAACAACAGTAATACTGAAAGTATTATTACAATTTAAAATAACTGTTTTCTATTTTAATATATTTTAAATTGTATTTTCAACAGCCATTACTCCAGTCTTTGAGACACATGATCCTTCAAAAATTATTCTATGCTGATTTGATGCTCAAGTCAGCATCAAATCTCAAGTAACATTTCCTATTATTATCAGTTACTATTACTATCACTTTTGATCATTTTAATAATTTAATACATCTTTGCTGAATAAACATTAATTTCTTTCAGAAGAAAAAAAAATCTTACTGACTTAAAACTTAAAAGTGTTGAGTTCGGAGGTGAGCTAATGTGAGATTTTCCTGTTTTCTCGTGGTTTGGTCCTGCTTGAATTGCAGAGGAAGTGTATATTTTATTTATGGGGAAGTAAGCATCCTATGAGCCAAACACAGCCTGAGAAGAAGTACTAGTATGATCAATTAACTTTTTTTTTCTATTTTATCTTTTATCTGTAGTTTTTTTTAACCTATATTTTATTCTCCCCATTTTTCTCGAAACCTCACAATATCCTGCATTCAACCTGCTGAAACATCAGATAACACCACATATTCATAATGTGCTACCGGCATCTCTTCGATAACATAATTTGACTCTTGTGTATGATGTTTAAGCACTTGTGTAGTTAATTTTGTTTACCCCTTTAATGGAGTACCTTGCTAAAATTACAACTCGTCTGGCATCTTTCTCTCATTTTTTCCCTTTCATGTGTATTATTAATGTTATTCACTGTAAATCTCATTAATTTAGACCTCAAAACACACTGTCCCACTGCGGAGCACAGGTAGCGTGTTTCTCTTTTTTTTTCTAAGAGTGTCAAAGGAAAGCTCAGGCTAAAAGCCTCTTAGCAAACCAGGAAGAAAATAAATTACTTAATGGAAGAATTGAAGCCTTCCCTTCTGAAAGCCAAAGAAGCTGCATGCGTAAAGACCCCTGATCTGAAACGCCCCTCAGCATACTGTTAAAAAAAACCTCTCTAATGTAGGCATACTAGATAGCAGCACCATTTTTGTGCCTCATCAGTGGCAGAGTGCATGCTGATAGTGGGCTGTGATTGAAGGCAATGAAGACTGATGAGAAGGCAGATACACAGATCTGTACCCATGAGTCCTTGCAGCGCCTGATATGCCATCACAGTCGAGAGGCAGTGTCTGTCAGCACAGGTCTGACTGGTCCTGCTTTGTCCTTAAAAAAAGGCTGAAAAACCCTGAAAGGATCTTCAAGTTTAAAACTTTTTTTAATTTCAAATTAAAAAAATAAAATAATATTGAGGCCATTGAAAGGGCGCAGCAACAGGAAAGTATTCTTGCATTTTGTTACGAAATGTTTGATATGTAGAGAATGCAGATATCAAATATTTTCAATTCAGTCACACATTTAGTTTTTTTCACATATTTGTCTGTTTCACAACTTTTTTGTCATCGGCTGGTGTGTTTAAGTAATTTGTTAGCATGCTTGTGCCCAGTCAAATTTCGAAGATGCCTGAAGAAACAAACAAACAAAGTAAACGTACAGTGCATTCATCTTTTCTGTGGAAGAAGAGGCCTTTTTTGTCTTAATCACGTCATTTGCAACAAAAGCAATTAACCCAGACTGTCTATTCGCTTTGTTTTAATGCTGAATAGACGTTTAAATGTGCTGAAAAGACATTCAGCACGGTAATGGTATTTCTGTGAAGAAACAATTACCCGTAATGACATGGTTATAAACAAATCTTTCAGATGTCTCAGCCCTCCTTTATTTTATCCACTGTTCCTGTTGCTAAACCTTTTGTCCGCCTGTAATTAATCAATTGTCGTGACAGTGAAAAAGAAAGCCCGCGGTGGGCGTTCGACTTCATCTTGCCATCAAAGAAAAGTAAATGAAAGACGAGTATAAAATAGTCAACTTTCAAAAATAGTATCCAAGTATATAAAATTATATGGACCACTTAGATTGAAAAAGAAATAAAAACCTTTTTATCCCATTATGCACGTCACGTATGACACACAGTTTTTCGTGCTTTTTGATCTACGGTTTTGTCTTAAAAGCATATTGTATGTTTTTTGAAAAAAAAACATTTGTTATTGTGCAGCTTTGAATTGATGAATGCAATTCTAATTACAAAATAAATTTTATTTGTGCTGTGATTTTCACATTTACAATGTGAGAGATCATGCAAGGTGAGAAAGCCAAAGGTAAAAAAAAAAAATCCCAAGATAGATGAAGATGGAGGAAAAAAACCTGACAAGACACATTACAGAACGTGCAAAATATTACCTAGTTGTGTGTAATACTAGGTATTTAAATTTTTAATTATAAGAAAATGTTTCATTTTCATTTTTGTTTCAGTTTCATTTATTTATAAATATTATCTAAATATTACCAAGTTACATAGTATGTGTAATAAGTTACATGTCATTTTTAATTATAATAAAAATCGTAATTTATCTATTTATTAATGCATAATTATGGTTTAAATTATATTTATATTTTAGTTTGTGATTTAAAATCTAGTGATTTATAGTCTTTATAGTCTTATAATTTATAGTCTGTGTCCATCCAAAAACACCTGATGAGTGTCTATGAATTGTCATTCATTGTCTTATGCGCTTCAAAATAAAAACATTTTGCATAATTTCTTTTTTTTTTGCACAGCGTACATGTACAGAAAATAATAGGATTAAATGCGTTATTAACTCATTAACTTGTTTAAAGTTGTATGTGGCTATTTTTTAGATGTCAAGATTTTGAGATACTAGAAAGTTCGATTTGAAATATTTATTTATTTCTGACATAAAAGTGACTTGATTATGCCATTCACATGAAGTTTAATATGAAATATGACAAACAGCGTAAACTTCCTTTGTCATAGGGGCCCGCTTTGGACTTTTGTTATAGATCTGTTGCTAGGCAGCGTACGGGTGAAAACCTGCCTATCCCTGCAAATCACTCTCAAACTGTTGCAGTGACATTACGGCTGTTTCGATCTATTGTAACTGCACCACTTTGCCACCTCTCCTCGAGAGGCAGCGGGGTTAACCAGCTGTCTCAGTTTAGCTGTCACCCCTTCAGTCTGCATCCCGCCAGGAAACACACAT